AGGGGTTGAATCTGGAAAAGTGCTTAAATACGTGTTTTATTATTTGTGCTGGAGAGCATTAGTACCAAGTTTTAAGTAAACATCGCTATAAAAATATTTTTCTCATACAAACTTAATCACACCCTTTTTTACCCCAGGGGGGTTGAATCTCGGAAAATGTTTAAATACTTGTTTCATTATTTGTGTCGAAGAGCATTAATAGCAAGTTTCAAGAAAAAATTTAAATATACAATAGAAATATTTTCCCATACAAACTTAGCCTCCACATTTCACCCCCTTAGGGGTTGAGTTTTAGAAAATGCTTAAAGACGAGTTTAATTATTTGTGTTGAAGAACAATAATACCAAGTTTCACGTAAAAATTTCAGTTTATAGTAGAAATATTATTCCTATACAAACTTAGCCGCCCAAACTTGGACACCATTTTTCACCCCCTTAGGGGTCGAATCTTCGGAAATGCTTAAATACGTATTTCCTTTGTGACGAGCCGTCACTAAATTCGTTCACGAGAAAATTGTAACTAAAAAGACTAATAACAAATCCCCAAAACATAACTCGAAAATTTGCAAATCTTGATTAACTAACACGCATGCCCTAATCGGCATATAGGACCATTCAAATAGATAAACAAAATCAACCATCAATTCCCAAATGCAGGAACAAAATTCGCGTATTCGCAAATTGCGAATAACATTGCGCTTGCCAGACATTGCAAATAACTTGTACAAAATAATACGCCATAAACATCGCCAATCGCAATTACTTTCATCTAAAATTGTATCCAAACTAAAACAGCTGCAAACGAAACCCAGACGCATAAATAACCTCAGAAAAAAACGCCCTCTTTAAAAATAGCTACAACAAGTAATCACATGTAGCGATGACGACATGAAAAGCATGACGCAAGTTGAAAAAACCCGAAAATATACGACACACTAACCAATAAAAAACGTCAGCCGCGGAACCATAATTAAAAGCTAAACCCTATAAAACAACGAAATAAAACCTAAAATCCCGTACCGAGTAATACACTAATCATGAAGAAATATAGTCCACTAAAGTCGCGGGAGACAAAAATAATGAGTAAAAGTCCCTATATAAGCAGTAGCACCGAAAACGGTTTCAGTAGAAGTTTCCAGTTGCTGCCGATTTTTTCGTCGAGATTTTTTATTTTTTTTCGCTGAATTTTGAAGAAATCCGAACTTAGACGAATTTGCTGAGCCCGAGAGGAAGATAGAAAAATTCTCAATGCTGCAGCTGTGTAAGTCTACCTTTTAGTCATTCTTGAGTTATCTTGCTTTCCGTTTTTTCGTCATGTATTCTCGAGTTCGAATCGTACATGTGTAGCGTTTAATTTATGCGTTTTCTTCGTTACGTTGGGTGTGAACAGTTAGCGCCGGCACAGAAAGTAATCTTTAGTGCTTCCATATGTTCCCGTTTGCAGGTGGCACGTTTAGCCTTGCCTTGCGTCGGTTCTTGATTATTCGGGAGGATTTTTTGATAAATTACCGTTTGTTTTTATGATAATTATTCCAATGTCTCTTTAATTTGCCGATTTAATTCTTTTGCTTGCGACATGAATATTTTATGTGCGTTTTTGGGAAGTTCCCGAATTGAAACCTTTTAATCTAATTTTCTTGCTGTCGATTATTATTTATATTGAATTTTTGCCGTTTAAATATGACTCCGTTCTCTGATTATTTTACTATAGTATTTGGAAACCTCACATTATATTTTATTCTAATCGTCTCACTGTATTTTAGCGCATTTATGACATTAATTTCCCAATGTTTAACTGCATTTATAAATTATGACTGTTTTACTGTTTATTTTTACATGTATCTAACTGTCCTGTAACCATCAATTTTTCTCGTGAACAATTGTTGTGCTCGGCATATTTAGCTAATCAATGTATGTAAAAACTCATTTATCTCTCTTTTTACATGTTTATATTCATAAGTTGTCGTAGATTTAAGTGCATGATTTTAATCCGTTATTTTTAGTTGTTCTTATAATCGGTGGAGATTTCTTCGAATCCACTGAATTATTGGTTTTGTTATTATTTTAATTGTTTTAATGATTTAATTAATATATAAATGCCCAATCGCAATTTATTTAAATAATTAAGTAATTACTCGATTTCGTAGTTAGTAGGTTTTTTTTTGTTTATTTATCACGCTCATGATATTAATATTGTTTAGAAGGTATCGCACTTAATTAAGGATTTACCGAATTAATTTTTAGTCTTTTTGCATGCTGATTTTTCTAGGATTAAATTTATTAATTAAAAATGTGGGTTATGTTCATAGATTTTAAGAGTTTTATTAGTGGAATATAATTGCGTAGCGCTTTAGAGGATAGTTTTGCATGTTGTTTTTTTTTTCGTGTTATGTGTGTGAATTTATTTTATGTTTTATTGTTCTGTTCATTATTTACACATTTACTCGATTATTCTTTTGACATGCTTATAATGCCTTCTTTTAATATACGTATAAAAATGTTATAAATGTTTAATTATTACCTCTTCCCTTACATGCAGCTTAGCTCTTCCATTTCCAAGGAAATGGGCCTACACCTAAATAAATAATTTTGTTAGTGTCCAAAAGCTCGGCCGCGGTCAAAACTATTTGGGCACGACACCTTATTTGTATTGAAGAGAATTAAAATGTACCAGGTTTCACGTAACGATGTAAATTTACAGTAGACATATTGGTCCTATACAAATTTTACGACCCCTTTTTAACCTCCTTAGGGGATGAATTTCGCGAAATCCCTTCTTAAAGATGCCTCCAGTATAAAATGAACATTCTCTCCAAATTTCAAGTTTCTAGCATTAGCGGTTTGGGCTGGGCGTTGATAAGTCAGTCGGGACATTGCCTTTTATGTACCGGGCTTTTTTTTTAAACTGAACATAGGCCTATGTTCAGTTTAAAAAAAAATGCCCGGTATAAAGATAAAAAATAACCGAACCTGCAAAACTCTAAAACCATAAATTATACTAGTATGACCATCTACTTGGGACAGCCCAAGGCCATATTTGAAACTACTGAAACCTTGTGTGATTTTCGTTGCAACAGCTACTGGATAATTTCTGCAACAAATTTTGTTTAGACAAATTAGATGACTTCATTATACATATGTATTATGTTTTATAAAACCTGTGATTCAGAAATAAAGCAAATTATTTAGTCATTTTGTCTGTTGTTGCAGAGTTAACTAAAATTATATACAGTATTTTAACACGATTTTTAAATAGGTACCCACCCATCGTACCAGTATAATGTTAAAGTTATTATCTTTATTATAACTTATAGGGAGTTACATAAAAAAAATAAATAAAATTCGCAGAATCAAATTTTTATAATTTTTCAAAAAAGGTGGGTGCTGCGACTAATTTTTAGAAAAAAAAATCCAATATGCTCTTGCCAACGTGTTAAGGTTGTCGTAAGCATGAAAGCGTTAATCAATTTTTTTTCATTTTATAGCCACCCCAAAAATTATGACATCATTTTACAATTTTTCCGAATTTCTTTTTAAATTTATAAAATAACATATTCCTGCATGTGTGATATATGAATCCATGTTGAGTTTTTACCCTAGGCACTAGGCACCCAGATTGTGGGAAAATACCAAAATTGTATAACAATAACAGTATACAATATAACTTTGAAATAGCAAAACCGAATGCTCTAAAATCTTGCAAACGTTTTAATGTTATCGCAATCATGGTCAATAGTTAATCAAATTTTAATTGTTGATATTCCCCAAATATAATGACGTCATCTTACAATTTTATTGAAAAAATATAGTGTTCTTTAAATTTTATAAAATAATATACTCTGCATGTATGAGTTTTTACTCTAGACAGCCAGATTTTTGGGGAAAAAGTCAAAATTGTATAAAACATTTAACATTATTATGACACCGTATCCTACAAATTTGCCGTTCTTCAAATTTATGAGTGTTTAGTGCAGCGCGGGGTACAGTGTTCTACTAAATAATATGGAATCGTTGTTGCAAAGACCAAACATCCGTCAGAAAAAAAGTGGATCACCATTGTTTCTACAACTAGAATAATCTTTCGCATGGACCTTTAACGATAAATGAATACATGAATGAACAAATGATAACCTGCAAAAGGTCAGTTTTACTTTTAATCGAAACTAAAAGTGTTTACATCGTTTTTATTCGAATGTTTTTCCACCTACTGTTTAAAAGGTGGATCAGTGGCATCGCATTGAGGATGGTTCACAGGGTTTTACCCCATTCGACTTGAATTTGTTTTTGCTACACCGTGGTTACAATTATTGCATATATTTCGAAATCACCCTGCATATCATATTGCCCCTATTGCCCGCACTTGTGCGGACCGCGCCCCCTTAGGATTTGCGACCCAGCGGCGCTGAAACTGTGAAGTTCCATTAAAAAAAAAGTAGGCGGCCTTGTGTGTCAAACCGAAAGCGGTAAAAAAGGAAAAATATTATAATCAAGTCGCCATGATTAACTATATATCCACACCAAATTTCCAAAAAAAGCTTTTCAATAACAAAGTTATTCAATCGTTCCGGGCCTTTATACTAACCCTGTATAAGTTACACAACTGAACCGCAAATAAATAGTACGCATGTCGTAAAATAAATCTCAAGCGAAATTTATTTGACAATCTTTTGATGAGGCGTTATTGCATTTTAAGTACAGATGAGCACACAAATTTTGGCTGGAGTTTTACCATATACCTGACAAGCTGAAACTACATACATCTAAAATTTCAGTACAACCACTCGAATTTCGGACATTATTTTCATAAAATCATAAAATTTTCAACAGAAAGGAAACCAGGGGGGAGATTGCATTTTCGTGTTCTACAAGCTATTAGACGTCAAAACCCAATTGTTTCTTAGCAAAAAGTTCATCTATATGGTAAATTTTATGGATAATTAGCAGTAATTGTACTACAATGACTATCATGACAGCAACCAGTTCCATAAAATTAATGATAATGACATCATAACACCAATAAGACCCATTTTACAGAAGCTTAATTAAGTATTAACTTATTCTCACAGTTCTATTGTCAAGTTCAAAAACTAAACATAAGTTACTAGATTATTACTCGCTGGCCACTTATGCTACAAACTTTAACATTCTTATCATAATAATACTTTTAACACTTGTTTCATGATTATTTTATTAATTCTCTCATATGAGGGAATCAAAAAAATGGTTAGTTTTTCTTAAACATAACATTAACTTCATAGTATTTACAACATATTTTCGAAAATAATCAGGAGTATTCTGTAAATAAACCAAAGTCATCTTGCACATCTGATTTGTCTTCATCATTACACCTTTTACTGTAATAAAACTTTTCACACGTTTTTAAAGCTTCAAACAACTCTTCCACAGCTTTTGTGCCAGGTTTTGGTTTATTATTTTCATAAAAGTTGAGTATTTCGTCAACTTTTTCTGATAATGGTTGAATGTGTTCAAACTTTTTCATTTCTTTTTTTAATTGTGCTTTGTAGTATACCTCCTAAAAAACATATAGAATAAACAAAATAATATATTATTTATGAAACAAACCTCAATTAGCTGCTGTTCAAGTTTATCAACCTCAACTTTTAGTTGTTGGAACTCTTGAGTGGTCACCATCTTCTCTTCGGTCAAGCCTGGTAAAACAACATTTGGCGGTAACGTAAAAATCTGTTTCACAGTTTCCTGCAAGAAGCAATTGACATCTCTCAATGCTAACACATCATACAGATTATTGAAATATATATTTCCTCAGTTAAACGCCCACACTTCAGTACACACTCAGGTAGGTTAAAGCAACGTCCGTTCTTACCCTAAACTTTTCTAGGGGCTCTCTGCTATTCGTAATATACATGTCCATCAGCTTAGTTATTTGGGTTTTAATTTCATCCACATCTTCAGGAAATTTCGACAAAAGCATGTCTTGTAACAACTGCACACTGTCATACATCATACTTATATTTAATTCAAGAACTAGAACATGGAAATTATTAACAGAAGGGGCAATATAAAAACTATCGAAGAGTACAATCTTCATAAAGCTGCTTCCAGTTAAAATGAAAATGATAAAGTTCCTGTTCATCTTGAATGTATTCTTCAGCTTCAGCCATATTGCACTCACAGAAAACTTACAATTCCACTGTAAAAATGTGAAAAAAGTCTTTTATTAAGTGGAAAATAACAATCAGAAAACGTAAAGTTTAAAAATTTTCGGCTGTTACAAAAGTGACAAAAAAGGAACTATCTTGGGGAATTTCTGTTTTAAGTTTCAATTCAAAAACGATAAGTTGGCAGTGAAGTCGTACATTTTATAACAGAAAAAATAAAAATGGTGCCATTTGCGGCCTCGCCACACTCAAAGTATTACAAAGCAGCACAATTACAGACAAAAAAAGGTCATAAAGCTATTATATATTACTTTTTAACAGTGCTATTGTATCGGGTATCGACATTAAGAAATTTTCCATTTTTAGGTTGGCAGCTCTTTTGGTAGAAAACTGTTATATTAGACTGCAACAAAACCAGTTTTTTAAATTTGGATCATTTATTTACTACACTCATATCACAGTATCTTACATATTATCAAAATAAATGATGATCTCTATACTATGCCGTTTGCCGTATGCGTCATGTATGCAACATACTTTACACATGTGAGATACGGAAAAACAATCACATTGTTATTTTATATTATTTATTAGGTCCTTCTCATTTTGAAACATTTCCACCTTTATGTAGTTTTAAATTATATTTACTCTTTCAATTAATAAACTATAACAGTTACATATTACTATTATTTTTTATATAACTAATTAATTACTTAATTAGGTTTATAAAATAGCAATCAAGTTATATTTATTTGATATTTTATAGAAATTAAATAAATAGTATTTGTAATTTACGACATTTTGCAAGCAAAAAGTAATTTATACGTTTCATTAAACAAATAAAATCGAATAAACAAGTCCTTAAACAACAAAACTGATTCGGTATTAATCAAACTATGTAGTGTTTTTACTTACTTACAATTGGTACTAAAAGGACCACACCTTATCTCCACCAATCAGATTCTTCTTCGACTCTCCAACTATTGTTTGATGTTTATAGTTTATAACAGATTTATATTCACCCGGCTGTTACAAATTTAGTAAAATTCTTTATTTTCCTTTTATCCTTTAGTACTTGGTTCTATATTAAGCTTAATTCTACTATATATTTCAAAAATGTCTAGTGATTCTGTCAAAAATGTAAGTATTTCATTCATAAACCATTACCTTATCAATATGGATAACAACTTCCGTTTGGCCTGCATTTGTCAACAATGTAACAAAAAATTTACATTTACAGTTTTCAAGTTTAGAAACACCAGGTTATGTAGGCTTCGCAAATCTACCTAACCAAGTTCATCGAAAGTCAGTGAAAAAGGGTTTCGAGTTCACTCTCATGGTTGTAGGGGAGAGTGGTTTAGGTAAAAGTACCCTCGTGAATGCCCTTTTCTTGACAGATTTATATCCCGAAAGACAAGTACCAGATGCCACTGGTAAGCCCTAATCAAACTTATTGTTTTTTCTAACCTCCAAATTTTCAGAAAAAATGAAACAGACTGTTAAACTAGAACCTTCCACTGTAGAAATTGAAGAACGTGGCGTCAAACTAAGATTAACAGTTGTCGATACTCCAGGTTTTGGAGACGCCATAGACAACACTGATTCATTTTCGGCCATAATAAGATACATAGATGACCAATTTGAAAGGTTCCTACGGGATGAGTCTGGGCTTAACCGCAAAAACATAATGGATAACCGTATCCACTGTTGTTTTTACTTCATATCTCCGTTTGGCCATGGTCTCAAACCGCTCGACATAGAATTTATGAAACAACTTCATAACAAAGTCAACATTGTGCCAGTTATTGCAAAGGCTGATGTTCTAACAAAAAAAGAAATGCTAAGACTGAAAAAAAAAGTGATGGATGAGATTCAAGAGAACGGTATTCGTATTTATTCGCTTCCTGAATGTGATTCTGATGAAGATGAAGAATACAAGGAGCAAGTGAGGCAATTGAAACAAGCTGTTCCATTTGCTGTGTGTGGAGCAAATACCATGCTCGAAGTGAGGGGGAGGAAAGTAAGAGGGCGGCTGTACCCTTGGGGAGTTGTTGAAGTCGAGAATCCTGAACATTGTGATTTTATTAAATTGAGAACTATGCTAATTACGCACATGCAGGATTTGCAGGAGATCACTCAGCAGGTGCATTATGAGAATTATAGATCAGAGTGCTTAGCAAAAGGAGGCCTTCCAAAACGCAATACGTAAGTTATGATAGAAGTAGAGGTTTTTAGTCATTTGATGTTTGCAGAATTGTTGATGAAAAGGGTGCTGCAACTAGTGATAAGGATAGGATATTGTTGGAGAAAGAAGCCGAGTTGAAAAGGATGCAGGAAATGATAGCTGCCATGCAAGCGAAAATGCATCAGCAACAGTGAATCTTCAAGTATCATATTTTTTATTATCTTAAATATAAAGATAGGGATATTTTTGCGAATAGACATTATCCGATGTATTTTTATTTTACGATTTTTTTTATTATATCGTGTATGTGGATTATAATTTGATATATAGAAAGCTATGAAGGTGTTTTTGTTTTTGCAAAAGCAGCTCCTTTGACCTTGTATGTGCAAAGTGAATGGAATTAAATCATACTTATTTTGTAAAGTATTAAAATTTTCCATAAGTTTTCGAATCTGAATGGGGCTGCTTTAACAAAAGTCTTCCTTTATTTTGGTAATGTATCAGTGTAAATAAATGATCCAAAGTGAAAAACTTGATTCCTTGTATTTCATAACAGTTCTCTACCAACCTAAAAATGGAAAATTTCTAAATGTCGATATAACTAGTACTTAACTTTTGTTTCGACCTTTTTTTAAAGCTAGAGTTTTAATTACGTAGTTGTGTTCCTTTGTAACATTTTGAATGCATGCAGTAGTGATGTGAGAGTACGTATTAAAATATTCGTTTATTCCGAATACAGAAATATTCGGGTGAAGCCGAATATGCCCGAAAGGAACGGATTCGGAATAAATGTTACGCGAGAGTGGTACACGGAACATGGACAATGACAATTGTCGTTCGGAATCGGAAAGAGAATACGGAATTACCGAGGGATGAAAATTTAGATAGATAATATTTTTATTAATAAGTACGATTTTAAGGTCATGAAAGTTCGGAAATATTAATTTTTTTAGTTTCAAATATATGAAAAATCAAATTGTTTAAAATTCTTCTCGTTTGCTGCGCTAACTCGAGCGATATTTATAAAAAAATTATCGAAAATTTAAAATAATTTTGACATTTTACTCAAGAATATTTTTCTTTCCTCGGCTCAACGGTCCAACGCTAGGGGCTTTGGTACTCCAGAAATGGCCCTTTGCGTTCAGTACTAAAGAAACGTAATCGTAAGCGAATTCTGAGTCGGTATCCGGATTCGGAGTACTCGGACTACTCGGTAAATCGGAGGCTCACGTACGAATTCGGAACCGGATGATTATTACGAATATTGCATTCATCCGATTCCGTACAATCCGAATATCAGGATCATCCGAACATTTCCAACGCTAGCATGCAGCATTGCGGACACCACCTTGTTTAATTTTTGAAAAGTAAATCTGTCTTGCCAACCTATCGTTCCTGAAACACAAATTCCCCAAAACCGTTCCTTTTCTTTTGTGATTCTTTTATTTTGGTACAGTTGTAACCTCTAAAAATTTTCATACTTTGCGTTTTAAGACTACTGTGTTTCCCAAAATGTTTTTATATATTCAGTCTTTGGTTTTTCCTCTTCACGATTTAGCATGTGTATAATTACTTGTAACAGTCTTGTAATTCAAACCAAGTTTATGAAGATTATACTTTTGAATGGTTTTTACACTGTGCTCCCATTTTTACTATTTCCTTATTCTAGTTAGTTCTTGAATGAAATAAATAAACATAAATATGATGTATAATAAGTTGCAGTTGTTACTAAGAAATACAATCATCGAAATTTCCCAAAAACGTGAATGAAATTAAAACCCAACTAACTACAACTAGGCTGATACACAATGTATAGTGCCCTTTTTTTTAATGTTGACCAAAACTTTGGGTCAGGTTAGTAACACTTAGTAAGTTTGCTAGTAGGAATTTTCAAATGAAATTTGGCAGATTGGTATTTTATAAATCGATATCAGTAATTTCATTGTACAGAACAAAATAATTATGAACGGTCACCAAGAGCTAGGAGTGTTGTAGTGATGAGAACATTCTACCTCCATGATTCATCTACTTCAAAAAATCGGTACGTTAAAATATACTAAACTCACTTGACATACACCTAGTAAAACTTTTATGACTTAAACGGCTTAAGCTAAACCACCCTTGAAGTCAAACTGGCTATTGTAAGCTTTGTGGACCCGAACCGCAAGGATTATTACTGTCCATTGTTGTCATAATGAAGTTGCGAAGTTTTACTACGTATATGTCAACTGAGCTAAGTTATACAATAGCTAGTTTGACTTATAAGAGTGGTTTGCCTTAAGCTGCTTAAGTCATAAAAGTTTCACTAGGTGTATGTCAAGTGAGTTTAGTATAAACGTTTATTAACAAATTGGCTTTGAAGTGAACTACATTTCCTTTTATTTATGGGTAGCGTTAAATTACACATATTAAAATTAAAATGTTTATCCGTACGAAAAATCACTAATTTGCTACTTTATTAAGAAAGAGGCTCTACAAATGCAAACAAAGGTAATTTTGGACTAACAATTTTTTTTTTGTATAACGCTAGATCTCGTATTTGAAACAAATTGTGTGAATCCTTTGTTGTGCTCTCTGTACCGAAGGTATATGTATCAGAAAGCACACTTAAAAAGCAACTGACCCAACCGTGGTTTGAAAAATTTGGAATATTTCAAATTTACCGAATGATTGGACGAGCAGGAACGAGGATTGTGTGAAGGAGTTGCTTTAAATTTTCAAATATGTGTTCAAAATGAAATGATGGAGACAAATTAAAGTGTAACCTTTCTTTGGTTTATTTACAGAATAAATTTGACAAAAAAAAACTGTATAAAAACTAAGTTTAGTTATAAGTTATTGTAAAGAAATTTATCAGTTTGTGTAAGAGGGTGTTCGTTTCATTTACCGTATGTGGGAGAATCAATAAAACAACTCGTTAAATACAGTGAAATGTATAATTTAGAAATTTCAAAAGGAGGATGATATGATGTAAATATTTACAATACAGAAATCATCACTAATTAAAACGGTTGATAGTTTCTACATTTTATAAAATATAATATGACAATAAAAAAAACGTACGTACGTAATAAAACAAACTTTCACGTATTTCGAGTAAATAATTAACAAAGAAAAAAGGAAGAATACACAGAAAGTTCGTTTTATCGTGTCTGAAACGATAAATTATAATATTTTTTCTACTGCAAAAAAATCTATACGACGCTATTCTACATGCAGTTATTTAAAAATGTGCTTTTTTATACATATTTTGCTAATAATGTCTCTCACTTAATTCTTTAAACATTCTTTTTGTAAGAGCAGAACATTACGTATTTTATTTTAATAACTTTTTTACAATGTGTATACATTGAATAATACAATGGAAGAATTACACAAATTTGTATATTGCCAAAAATATACATTTCTTACTTATTAAAATTTTTTAATGGAAACGCTAAAATATTGCACTCGTGCCATATTTTATCGTCCTGGAAGAAAACAAGGGTCATAAATAACATCACTATTGTAATTCATCATTATTTAAATTCTTCTCTATTGGGTGGATTCGTATCTTAATACTTACAAGTAACGATATGCATTTTTCAATAACTTCTTTGCTCATGATTAATCCTAAAAATTTTTTTATTTGGAAATTAAAGCTATGTATGAACAGACAATTTCCAGCCGGATGAGATCAAAACCACTGGAAAAATAACAACGAACGCGGTAAAAGACGCAACTTTCAAAATCAAGTGAAAGCCGATCTTGACTGGCCAAAACAAAATTGATGCCCTTATGGAAAGACTAGAGGAAAAACTGGAGCAATTTCGAATTCCTTACACTAAATAATACGTGCCTTATATACAAAAAATTTGGAAAAGAGTACGAAATTTAACACTTATTGCAAATTTGGCCATCTTGGGGTTGGAAAGCACACGTTTTCTCAGTTTAAATAAACAAGCAAATATCACAATGTTTAAAACATTTTGCTTTGCAATAATTATAGCCGTTTTTGTAATAATTTGGCTAAATATACATAATGGTAACAGTCTTATAATAACTACGAATTAAAAAAGGGAGAGAACGAAAACAGTGCCTCGTTGGCAAGAAAAAGCCTTAACTTAACAAAAAAAAATGGTAAAAGATAATCACAATAAATAATAGGGTAATGATTATTCGATATCCGTGATTGCACTTAATTTATTATCTTACAGAGTCTTCCTCGGAAGTCTTTGTCTTTTATTATCACTGAGTCAATAATCCCACCTCTCGTCTTCGGTCTCCTGTTTCTCCTCCTCCTGCTTCTCGACCTCCTCTTCGTTCCTGTTCTCCTCCTTCGTCTCCTTCTCTTCGTTTTGATTTTGCGCCTCGTTATCGTTACTAATGGAAGAAGCGTCACTTTGGTCGTCCTCAAACCGGTCCATGACCGGCGTCGGTTCCACTCTCACCGTCTCTTCCGAGCTTCTCCTCCCGTAATCCTCAGTCTGCATCACACAAACTCCGTTTATTATCACTTCGTCCCCGGTGGGTTTGTCCTTCTCGTTTTCTTGCCAATCGGGGTTGACCCACTGCGGCGCCGCCGGCTTTCGCCTCGAGCTCCGCCCCTGATTGACCGGAGCTTCCTTGGGCTCCGCCTTGAGTAGACTACCCGCCGAGAGATTCGAGTCCTCCGAGCCCACGTTGCTCTCCACGTCGTCGTCATCGTCGAAGTCGCCCGGTTCGCGCTTCAGCGACGTCATGGACAGGTCCAAACCACTCATCTGCTCCTTGACGGCGTTGTTCAACGCCGCCATATCTACTTCGCTAGGTAATAACCCCCGGCTGATCAGCGCCGCCAGGTTCGTGTTGGCCGCCAGGTAAGGCGGGTACGGCAAGGGGACTCCGCTCAGTCCCATTCGTTCCTTAGATAACTCTAAAAGTCTTTGGTTCAACAACAGCCTGAACTGCACGGGGTCGAAGGGGCCCTGGGCCCCGCTCTGGTCCCGCGGCGGAACGTCGGACGCCATCCCGTGCGGCACCTAACAACAATCAACATTTGCTCACTTCGTTTCTAATATTTTTGAATTTTGGCATTTTTAAGGTTCTTGGCGGTTTTGACATTTTTGACAAGTCTAACTTCAAAAACAGACAACATTGTATGTATAATTAGATACATCGATTGTGCCAGTGCTGGTCATACTCCACAAAGTATAGAACTCTGTCTACAACTTACTATGGCCTCGTTCATGATAAGTAAGCAGTATCCCTTAGTGTTTATTAAAATTTGTTAGAACGTCAAAAACATCGGGTTCTTAAGCAAATAGTGCCAACCACCACGTACCTGCTGTTTTAATCGCATCCGGTGATTGTGGAACCAATTGGTGATGGTACGGCTAGACAATCCCAGCTCGGACGCCAGAAACTCGATGGTAGCCACGTTAGGGTAGGGGTCGAGGGCGAAGGCTAGCCGAAGCGCTTCCTTCTGTTCCTCGGAGAAGAGCACGCGTTGCTTCTTGGTGGGCCCAGGCCCGGGCGAGTTGGAATGGTAAAATTCGGAGGTGTCGTTCGACGAGGTGTCCGAACTGTTGTCGTGTGCGCCGGGACCTGACGAGCGACGTCGCTTGTTGGCCTCGCGACGTTCGTTCTTGAGCGCCTGCAGGCGGTCGATGTTGTGGGCGTCGTTCAACCAGAGTTGCATGCGGATGAAGGGTTCTCGCCCTTTGATGCTGAGCATATGCCAAGGCTTGGGTTTGGAAAGCAGCTCGCTGACGGAACCTTGGGAGAGCCCCAGGACTGCCTCGCCGAAGATCTGCAAAGAAAAATGACGCATCCTTGTACAGCTAGCTTTGAAACCAGCTTCTGAAGAAAATAGGTTCTTGATTTTTTTTTTGAAAATTGAGTCTTAGAAGACGAAAAAATAACTGAAAGGAGTATTAATCTTAGATTTCGTCTAATCTCTCTACCTTTTGTCCGATATTATTGGCGAGCAACGCCTCTTTGATCTTCGTCGTGATGACCTGCGTATCCAAATCCTGCGTCAGCGCTGCCATTTCGTACACGCTAGGCGACATGTGCTGATGCATGTTCCTCAAACTCTGGTGCTGTCCCATCGGCGAATGCGGGATCCCATGCGGGCTGGGGTTCTTCTTCAGATGGTCGGGGTTCTGCAAGCTGATGGCATGATGTGGCGGCACCCCTGGAGGCGTCAGCAGCATCGGAGGCGGCTGTGGGTTCTGGCTCATTGGCGGCGGTCCCAGCTGCAATGAAGGTGGTAGCAGGTTCTGCGTCTCCTGCATCTTGCTAATGATTCCCGCGGCGTCATTCAGCATCTTCGGCGTTGGAGGCATCGGTTTGCCTATGGAAGTGCCCGCTCCTCCATATCCCCCAGTCCTCATCAGCTTCTCTGGAGCGATTTTGTACTGACTCGCTACTAGCTTGTGCACTGCGTTATCGTCTTCTAGAAACATCTTCATGCGGATGAAGGGCTCGCGACCCTTTTGGGTCAACATGTGCCACGGTTTAGGGCGCGCGAGGAGATCGCTAACTGAGCCTTGCGACAGCCCCAGCACGGATTCACCGAAAAGTCTCTGGCTTATCGAGTACTGACTCAACTGCTCTTTCACTTTCTTCACGATGTCTTCGGTATTGAGGTTGTTGTACTGATCGAACTGTTGCTGGGTGATGGGCGGGAGGACGGCTTTGAGGGGTCGCTGGGTGGTGGTGTGGTGAGGCTGGGCTGGAGGTTGCGAGATGAGGGAGTTCGTGATGGAAGCCATTCTTTGGAGGGGACTTGCGACCGCAGATCCCGAGAAATCGTCAGTTGGGGTCATCGCAGGCGGCAAGATCGCGTTCCCTAAAGGACTAGAAGCTGTCGAACCGCTCGATGGTTGCGTCCCGGGTTCGATTTTCGGCCTAACTAAACTGAAAGCGCTGCCTGAATGCCGTAACGCATCCTCGTTTGGCGAATCTTTGGTGTCTTTTTCTTCACCGTTCATTAATTTTTTGTCTTTTGGGAGGGATAAATCCTGGACGCCCCCGTTGGGTTGGTGCTGCACGAGGGCTTGGTGTTGGAGAGCCAGCAAACCCAAGTTCGGCATTTGACCGGGGTTGGACTGATTCAACTTGAGGATTTCCCGATGATAGGCATCCAACGCCATCCGAATTTCTTCCTGGGTCCTGTCCATCTGACCCCCACTAAATAATTGCGGGAAAAACATACTACAATGAGTTTAGCAACTGTACAATAAACCCATCAAATACTCACCCAGGGAAAGCTTCCCGGGGATTCCTCATATCCTCGACCCTCCTTCCCATCAACTTAGCCAGCTCTTCCTGGTAAATCCTCACAACCTTCTCTTGTGGAATGTCGTCGTTTTCGTATTTCTTCAGTCGCCGATTTTGCGACGAGTCCTTTGAAAACGGACTCAGACACTGATTGTGCGGCGATTTCGAGTCGTCGTTGCTATGGCTGTCTTCGGTGTGTGTTTTCATCTGCTGGAATTGGCTTGCTTCGCTTAGGATATGAGCTATCCGCTCTTCGGTTAGATCGTTTTCTGGACGGCCGAACGTTGGCATTCCTGTATCTTTGCCTGAGGAAAAATTGTCTGTAAGGGAGCAGGAGTAAACAGTCTTAATGATTTGAGTTTTTGCTAAGAATTTAGCAAAACACAAAGAGTCTTGGATGCGGCTAGCCAAAACGGCTCCAATAAATTAAGCAAAATAAGGGAAGAAGCAAATATTAAAAAGACAAAAGTTGAGAAAAGTGCCTCAGTCTTGTGTGTTGCCTTGTAGCGTAATCTAGTACACATTCATCAAAGAAAAAAAAACATACAGAAAAAGATAATCAGATCATGTTTTAGTACGCATTACTAGATGATACGTCAAATTGACGCTGCTTGCATAAGTAAATAAAATCTTCCAGTTAATATTTCATCGTAATATATATTGGTGGATTGCACTAAATTGCGTATTAATTTATCTGAATGTGTAAGGATCCTCCTATCGATCAAAGGTGGAGTCTTTGTCCGTATTTAACAACCCTCAGCGTGCCCCCTAGGCATATGAGTTAATAACGTGAAAGTATCTATGTGTGATGGGTCAGTTTAGAATTTCCGTAATCACGATTAATTATCCACTTGAAGATTCGTCTATTAGTTGCGAAAATTGCGGGTAATTATCTATCGAACCGTTGATGTGTGAAATGTCACATGGAAAGTCCAAACGTTCTAAAATTGGTGCGCCTCGAGTATCTTTCGTGAATTTTTCTTCCGGTCTTGACAATTAAATTATAGACGTAGTCTTCAAGGTCCAATTAAATGCTCGTTATGGTGCCTTTCAAGAAAGGAGAAGCCTCTCCCTGTCATACATGATGTTAGAACTCCACAATACAAAGAAATCTTCGACTTGTAATTAGGCTAACTGTATAAAAATTGATACGTTGACATATGCAATTGCTCGCATCTCGTCGACATTACACTCTTCCGTTATTGTTGAAACAAGTTGACAATATTATACTATTCTTGTTCCATTATGGAACCGGCCTAGGAGTTCACATTCCCATGAAAAATACAAAATGAGCAACGAACAACGAGTAATTATTATTTGCTACGTAGAGAGAAGTTTTTATTATTATATAAATACAGATGTACAACATCGTAAATACTGCCATTAAACCGTCGTCTTGTGTCACACGGTTTAGAAAAGCCCGTTACACTTTATTTCACAAAGAACTCAGACAAACGTAATCTTATTTTAATAACTAGAAAATTGAAGAAGATCGGCTGAGATCCCTCCGGTTAAGTATCGACATATTTTAACATCTGATACGTAATTACCTCGGGACGTCATGTAATAATCATTCTTTCCAAAAAAATCATCACGCAACTATTATTATGGTTGATTTCTTCTGTAACCTCAAAATCGACAAATAATAATTAAAATTGTTGGGAAAAAAAGAAAAAAGAGCCGCCAGTTGGGAAATGACGCGTTCTTGAACAAAAATTTTGTAAAACGAACATCAAGTTTTGAATATTGAACAGATATCTGTGAAATATGCGACCGGGTGTCAATACCGATATCCGCCTATATATTCGAATACAAAAACGCACTTTTCGATAGACTTCCAATGTCGGCGATCCATTATCCATTCGAACCTTCGTTTTATTCTCTTATTAATGATACATCATTTAATTGAAGTTTGTATCTATCGGAACAATCAGAGCTGACGTGTCCGACTACAGCATTTATTTCGTCCCAATCAATCACTCGCTTTTTCTCTGCCGTCGAAATTTTATTAATCGCATGTTCAGAGACGATTATCCTTTACGTAAATGCAAAATGACAATCGCGACTCTATTTAATTGAATCAAATGGTGATGCAGTTTGCATTTCATTGCATTGATTGATATTTCATTGCTAAAGTCATCACATTCTATGAATCACCCGATTGCAATATCTTCTCAATTTTCCGATGACTTGGTTGCGGTAATTTTAACTTATCAATAGTAAGGAGATATTAAATAATCCAATTTTTTATCTCGTTAGTGCAGTAGGCTGTGGCGAGTGATTTAAATTTATGGAAAGTAATAAAAAAGGAGCATTAACGTTGCGACCATAAACTACAACCGGAATAATAACAGAATCTAAGGAATATTAAGGAATGTGGATAATGAAGATATTGGATTGACGTTTATATGTTTCTGTGGTAAATTTAACACATGAGTCTTATTGGAGAAAGTCGGCTGAAAAACGTAGGTACAGAACGATGTGCCCACGATATTAAATCCCATTGAAAATGGTATTGCATATTTAAAGATAAATATTATTAAAGATCATTTGAATTTCCAGAAAGTATATTTTTTTTAGTTTAATGCATAATGAATTAATGATTTTAATAAATTACCCTATGGATGTCCGTTAGATATCCAAGTGCGACGAGTAAATGTTGGAAAATGTTTCAGAGGTATTCAAGAATAAAACGTTTATAAGTTAGCTAGACAACATTAGCCTCAGATAGTTTCATCGGACACCTACTTGAACATCTCAGCAAGTTCACGTTATTCGAACGTCCAGAGAATATTCTTTTTACACTTTCAAAGTAAGATTTATAATTCGCCGAGTCTTGGAGACATTCTCATTACAATGAGATAATTACGATTAACAGCGTACACACATGGATGTACCCACGTTTGTTAAACACCTAGATTTGAAAATCCAGTAAATGTCCTAAATGGTTGTTCAGGGTATATTTTTAAGAAAAGATACCCATACCGAATATCTCATTTATTTAGTAGTAGCCAAGCATAAGTTTTCGATAGTTTACATTGAATTTCAATACAACCTCCAATTAAAAAACTCTAAAATCCTGCAATTTTCTTTCCCATGATACCTCCTCATCACCGAGTGGCGCAAATTCGGTCCGACCGCTCTTCAGCGCGTCGAATGCGCATTTTCCGTGCAAATGCCACCGGTTGAAGAATGCAGACCTGTCCTCAGTGCACGGTAAATATCGGAATATGCACACAATCCGATTAATAAATAGAGATAATAATAATTGCTTGTCCGAACGGATGTAACTCGATGGTTGACCGCAAACAAAGAAAAAAAACTGAATCATTTCCAAATTTAGCCTGATATTGAACGCGGAGGAAGGAAGTCATGTTATTATAAAAATTGTTCGATAAATTCGATACCGTAAAAACGAAGGCGCAATAATTCGCCGGACAAGAACCCCTCCGTGGCTTTTCGTGGCGCGTTCGATTTCTATCACGTCCCGAATTATAAAAAAGTTTTTACGGCGTTTTTACACATGCAACGCTTTACACGCGACTATCGGTTTTAATCCGAATCACGGCACCGTCCGTCACTGTTTGCCAGTGGCGTAACCACAAGCAGCCACCCTAAAGGCAAAAACCGTAGCATTGTTTGTGTAAAACGTGACAGCGAAGGTAAAAACGATAGAAAAGGAGAAAACATTGCTCGTCGTCTTCTAGACTTTTTATTAAAACTCATATACTCACTGCGAGATGCACTTGGCTTTACAGCAACCTGACACAGTTGATGATATTTTAAACGTTATTAAGTGTTTACTGTTAATTTGTTTCTAGGTTGTTTTCAAATTATTACATATACCGACATTATTAAAAATAGTTTATTTCAGTGAAGGAAAATCTAAAGTGTAAGTCATTATTCGCATGTGACGAATCAAAAAATAGTGCATATGCTAATATTTTGTATACAGCGTAACTTGTCGTTAAACTTAGATTTTACCACACGATAATAACCCAATCATAAAAAGTTTTTGTTTGCGAAACAATTTAAATTATTTTGTATATAATATGACGAAACAACATTATTAAACAAGTTTTAGGCGTATCGATTTTACTGTTCTTTTTATCTTATAAAAAAAAATCAATGACAATCAATGAGTTAGCAGTGCCTTAAAAATGAAAACTATAGTATGTAAAAATGTATATATGTGACAAAAATTTAATCAGAATAATATTTCTTAACAAAAAAAAAAAATTTATAATTTTGCTTCCGGTAATTTTCCAGTAATATAGTTAGCAAAAACAACCTTTTTAATCTTGATAATAAAGCAATAAGAACATTTATCTCCATCATTGCCCCGAATTTTCAAAAAAAGACATTCTTTTTAATGAATGTCACCTTTACGCCCGGCCCTCACGGTGTCTACGCCACTGCTGTTCGATCCGGAAGGCGTCCATACGTCCGCTTCGCGGGGCGAAAACGTATCGATTATGGGCATTCGATTGGCGATTTTTATGGCGAATGTGGCTGATGGTGGCGCGCGATAAGGCCGAAACCTTGGCCGGACCGGAAGCACGCTAGATCGCTCCCGCGATTATCTCTGAAATTTTAAAATTTAAAGTGTTGGGGTTTGTTTTCGGCGTACACGTCTGGGCATAAAGATATTTTATATCGTTTCGAAACAAAAGGCACGGAAGTCGATGCGAATAATTTACCTCTATCGGGTAAAAAAGAGGGTGCAATGCTACGACGTCTGCAGCAAACCGAACAAAAGATTAATAAATCTCCGGTAATATAGTTGTCTAAATTGCTAATTTACTCTTTTATATTTCACTCTATAAATTTAACAACAAAGATACACCGACGAGGAATATTCTGATGCAAATTTCAGGACGCCTATCACAAAAGAAAACCTAATCCGGTCCTTCATCTATCTATGGAAACGAGTACACGGAGCGGGGTAGATTTACAAAAAACATCTATCAATGCAATTTCAATGTCGGACAATTCAGCTGGAACATTTTTGTGTTGGCACATGCTGATGCTGTCACACACAATGTGTTTCCAATTATTAATTTTTTTTCAAGCGAACAATGAACGCAATTACTGCATCGACAAATACCTAAAGCCTTTTCGACGAGTTTAAGCTCGTAACCACGCAAATGCGGCGCACGGCCGCAATTTTGACCGAACGAATCGCTGGCTTCTTTTTTCTTGAACATCTCGAAGACATTTAAAAGACATTCAATCGTCTTTGAATATTTAAATTTTTGCGTTTATTGACTAGTCATCGTTATTTATCTCAATGTATATAGACAATTTTAGCGAAGAAATTGTCCATCGATCTAGTTCTCGAACGGACATCTAACAACTAACCGTTACAGAATTTAATATCCTTACGGCATCCGTTTCTGCACTAAACTTCCCTGTGTTTTTAAGTTGGAACTAATTTGCCATTTATTGTATTTATAGTGTTAGACTTTTTGGATATCTATTCATCATCGTTGAATAAAATATTGTTAAATAACTTTCGTCCAAAACTTTCTCTATTTTCATCAATTTCTCTGGGTAAATTAACTTGTGAATGTGTAGTATAAGCACTATTTACGTAAATTTATTGTTTTTATTTTTCTAAAAACAATATTCGGATTTTAATTTCTATATGATAAAGATGTAAATAATTCAGGACCTTTTTCTTAATAAATAAGATTACTTAATATTTACTTACACTTATAGGTAGTCATTAACGAAAAGTAAAAATAACACGGGACCAATCTGACTTCCCTGTGGAACCCCAGACGCAGTATAAATTTCATTTAAAATATAGCTGCTACTACTACTATAGATTATAAAAAGTTTCTATCGATTTTGTATTTATAAAAATTAATTAATAAGAGATTTAGAGCAAATTTTACTAAAAGTCAGTATGCGAACTACATATAATTTTCACCATTTGAATGATTTAAATTTCTCCAATAGGCAACTGATGGAATTACATTAAAAAAAAAAACAGGCGAAGATCAGTGTCCGTCTGTAACCCAGAACTCTCGGAAAGCGAGCCTTTTTTCGTCGTCCAACTTGTCATTAGCTTCAGTGTGCCCCAAGGCACAGTTCTCGGGCTGCTGTTATTCCCCCTTCGTAAGCCAGTGGTTTAATTTCATGTCGATTGTTGCATAGTTAACCTTCCGTGCCACAATACAGTATTATTTATCTTTCCGAACAAAGAAACGTCTTAATTTCTGGGTGCACAAGCACTTATCATCAAATCTGTATATTATAATAATATGATAAAATAAGTTTAGACTAATTTAGATATGAATAACCGTACGTATGAGGTAAGTAGGGCATAAAGCCTGAAATGCGACCTGTCGTAAGAGCGCGATTAAGATCGTGTCAAAGTGTAATAAAAGAATGTGTTGAACTGCAACCTGTTCCAACAATAAGCAATAAAATATGCAACAAAAAGTGTTAAAACCCGAAGTAAAAGTAGAACATATGTACAGTAATCCGAAAATCGAAGAGTGTTGTTTTTTATGTGATTGCAGAGATAATTCCTCGCGAGTTTAATTGCGCATTGTTAAATTATGCTTATTCCAGATTGAAACGAAAGAATATTTAGAGCAGAGCGAAACTATAGGATTTATACGGTTTTCAAGATTATAAAGTTGATGTTTTGTAACGCGTGGGATAAATTCAAACAATATAAATGGTTTTGTAATTAAATATTTGGGTTATTAATGTTGAAATTTTTCCTAACGATCGCATGTAAATTTTATTGTGTGTTGTGACACAATGTTTTTCCTAATGGAACACAATAAAATTGCTAAGAAGGTTTTTTTGATATTTTCGTTATAATTATCTATCATTCGAAATATTTTATTGAATGGCAGGAAATGATTCACGGATTCGTACGAAAACTGAAATTATTTTTATACATGCGGCCTAGAATCGCTTAATTGTCCATTAATGAATTATTTATTTGTGTGTTTTAATATTAAAACATATCAAGATTGATTTAGCTCGGGGAATATAATTAACGACGATAAGAATCTTGGAAATTAAAATCTTTGCAACACTCTAATGGAGAAGATTGATGATCTAGTACACGTTCACGAGGCACTTTCCTGGCTCTGGTTAGCAGTGGAACTAATAGTTCTCCGTAAAATCACAAGTGAACGTACCACTTGTCACTACCATGCATTGCCAAAAATTTTTCTCCACTCACCTTTCTTTGGTATCAACGATTTCAGGAGGAGAATCGCCTGCTCGTCACAAGCCCAAGCGTGCATCTTCCTGTAGCTGTCCCTCCCTTTTTCCGTGAGCTTATCCCAGGGCTTCGGCTTGGACAGCAACTCCGACACCGTCCCTTGGGACAAACCCAAAATATACTTGGCGAAAAGCCTCTGTCCTATATTATGTATCGACAACAACTCCCGCACCCTCCTCGATATGTGCAACGTATCGAGATTCTGTGAAGCGTACTTGTCCATGTTGTACCTCAACATTTCCTGCAGTTTGGCCTCCATGGGATCTCCCTTGGGGATCAAGCTCTCGCCCAGTCGACTCACCATGGATCCCGGAGCCATCCCCAGCTCTTCCGCAAAGCGAAACGGTGACCTGAAGCAAAAACCGGAGCAATTTTCACCTCGTACTTCTGATCAAGGGCCACCGGTGGCATCACCACCTCATGGACGCCGGAAGAACGATACCCTCATGACCTCCGGAGGAATCATCACCGGACTGGCGCCGGGGAAATGTCATAAACACTGAAGAAATGATCGCCTCCTGGGTGTCGGAGTAATCACCTCATGGACACCGGAGGAATGATTCCTCGTGAGCTCTGAAGGAATAATCACCTCGTGGTCACCTTCCGGGTGCCGGAGGAAGCTCTTTTCAGGTCTTACCTGTGGTCTTCGAAGCGGTAGGGGCTCTTCAGCGCCTCCTCCCCCCGCAGGAAGTTGTTGACCGCGCACATGGTAGCCATGGGGATGTTGTTGTTGCTGACGTGGTGGTTGTTGTTGTCTTCGGGGCTTTTGGGGTTTCCGTTGAGGATGGGTTCTACGGGTGAGGATTGTGGCGGTTGTGAGTCCGGAGGTTGCGGCGTCGAGGCCGTCGATTTTTCATTGTTTGTGGGCGTGACCGAGGCGTCGGGAACTCCCATGACCGAGGTTGGCGTCTTCGCGACATCTATACAGGGTGATCGCGAGATTAGACGATTATTCTGCTCTATGCTACGGCGCCAATTGGCCACAATCTCTTCGCCTAACATGCTACCGAAGGTCTCTACGTTCTGGAAGGGACGTGGGAGGGGACCTTGGGGGGACAGGGGGGAGAGGGCCTCCGCTGGTTGATTTGGTGGATTTATTGCAACCCCTGGAAAAGAGGAAACAGCTAAGTAAGACCTGAAGAGGAGACGGGGAAGGGGACGAAGTCGTGGCGCGGAGGACTAGAGGACATTCAGTGGTTCTACGTTTCAATTCTATTCAGTTATAGATTCATATTGCGATAACATTTCTTTACGCAAAGTTTTTACATCAGCAGGTGTAATAAAAATCAAAATTAAGGAAGATCGACGACTGTGATAGCTTTGAATGGTAATTATGGAAAAGTTTGGATAAGGCAGGCCACAACAATAGAAGACTGCTCCTGATACGGAGATAATGGATTTTTCTGTGTCGCAATTGTTTTTAGGAAAACGGTTTAGAGAAATTATTTTTTTAACTGTTAATCACTGTCAATGATAATTATGCTAATGTGGTAGAAATACGGTTGCTTTGTTGTTGGTTAATCTTTATGTAGTAAGGTTATTTACTTTTGAAAATGAAAACTTTCAAAACTACAGTTACTTTTCTAAAACTGTCAAAATTATACACATCATGTAAGTTTAAAGAAATTAACCGTTAAAATGTAGATGACAATCGTGCAAAGGTTTTTCCTACTGTTATATAGTCGACGAATAAAGATGTAATTTCCACTATCGGTTTCACTTTTCCTGTCTTGAAGCTCGGGCAAGCTACAGAATACAAGCGGCAATTAAAATCGAATTATTTGTAAAAGAGCAACGATACCACAATTATTCTTAATTACTCCATACCTATCATCTACATAACTATTAGACAAAAATTACCGGAGCTGATAATTTTGTTTTCCATCAGAGTCTGCATCATCATTGCTTATTAAATTCAAATTAAAACGCCATTTTTAAGGGCAATTTACGCCATTTCGAATGATTTTAGCACACAAGCGATCCGACTCGTAAATCTCGTTGATGTCGAATGTCCTCGCTGGTATCGTCAATTTTGACATTCCACTTAAATTCTCTTATTGTTTTCGCAGGTTTCATGGACGCTTAAGTTAAATTTTCTTTGTGAATATGACGTGTTATCTTATTCGTCTCTATGTTCTTTACAATACGAAAACAAGGACTGTAATTTCGGCAAATACAATTGCAACTGGTACGGGTATGGAAAAAATCATAAATTATATGTTATCATCGTAAGTCATCAATGAGTCTGATAAATGACTTCCTTTTTTTCATGGTTCACCGATCTTAATTTATAATCACACTAAACTAATTAAAAATACACTTAATTCAACCGGAGTCCGGAATAATTACGGTGTGCAACTAGATTATGCTAATATAATTTTTTGGGAATTCTATTGTTTTTGATATTATCGAACCTGCTCGAGTCGTTATTTTACGGTAATTCTGGCGTAATTAAAACTAGAGTGGGGACGTTTGTCTTGTTGGATAAAATCTATTAAGAAAATAGAAGAAGCCTCATTTGAATATGGAAATTCGGGAAAATGGAGCTTAATGGTCCTCACGGCAAACGTATCAAAAATCTGAATCTTTTGGAACATTGATGATGGGTAGTACAATTTTCTTCGCCAAATATTTTATAGCTTGGTTTTGACACCTAAGTTTTGCAATTTTGCACATTCGTTTTACAAGCTAGATTTACAGGAATTCAAAATTTTTATATTTATGTAGGATTTCAAAGACGACACGATATACACCATTTTGCACTTTGTAATAACTTGGTTAATATATATCAATACAGCAAAAATGTCCCAGCTGTCATAGGAATACTAACAAAATTATAAGCAATAAATTGCAAATATGTATTTGCAAAACTACTACATATACGTATCACAATTTCAGTTTGACATTTACTAAATTCAAGAAATAGTAGAACTTTTGTTATAACAGGTGATCAATGATTTGAATGGAAAATACGTTTTTTTGAAAATAATCTTTAATACATTCAAACTGAAGTGGAGTAAGTTCAATAGATGTACTCCCTCGAATGATCAGAAGATAGCTTCCAAACTTAAACTCAGAACAAACATTTTTTAAGGTGGCCAAGTTTGCTAATTTTCGAAATTTGAAGAATTTTGAACATAACTGGCGATGTGTTTATATTTTTAAAATGCGTGCGACAGGAGTCTCAATATAAATACATAGTAACTTTTGACGGATTTGGAAATATGAATTAAACTAAAAAATTGATGGAAATGGGTATCGGTGTTCGAAAATTTGGGAAATCTAGAACGCGAGTATTGCGTTGACATTTTTCCACTGAATGCTCTCTTGTAGCCTCGTTTCGCCACCATGGGAGCAATAATTATGAAGACAATAGTATAAATCGAAACTTTCGCAAAAATCGTTTGAAATGAATTACCTTCGACCTCTTGCGTTGGCGTTTTGACCCTGTTCTCGCTTTGTTGTAAGTTTTTGGTTTTCTCGAGTAGTAAGTCTATAGATTTGGTTGTTTCTGGATTATTCGAGAGATCCGACCTCAGGATACTGTAACAATTCAAAAAACACAATCAGTGTTATCTCGGTGACAAGTAATCGGTAAACAGTTTTGAAATGAGTCCGCAATTATGTATTGTTATAAATTAAATGATATCACGACAATAAGATAAGATGTTTTGTTGAATAAAGAAGGAAATTGCTGAAATTGTGTTTTTCCAGTACCTGAGTTCCCTCTTCATGTCCTCATAGTCCCGCTGGTGGTCCAATTTGGCTTCTAACTTCCCGATGATCTGTCTTTTCTGTTCTAATTGATTCTCTAAGCTAGTGATCTGCGATATCGAGGTTTCTTTCAGTTTGGATATCGTGCTCTGGAGTCTTTGTACTTCTTCAACTAATTGATTGATCTGCAAAGGAATTATTTAAATTCGGCTATTGTCTCTACCGGTGGATAGATCTGAATAATATTAATGACATTAGCATGAAAATACACCTTTGTTGACTAACCCCACGTGTACTTTGAGAAATTCTATTAGCTAACAAGCTTTTGAAGGGAAAGAGACGGATATGTTTAACGTAATTTAGGAATCAATCAATCGCTCTCCGTATGAAGACATTAATCTGTTCAACCCCTTTATGCATAAGGTGATATAGATCGATTGATTAAATTCCAGGGGCGAATCTCGCCCTTATCGCCGCGTAATTGGGACGCCCTTAAAACAAACCGAAGAAGCATTCGAATAATTAATCCCCTCCGGATTTTTTGTTCGAAGGGAGTATGCAAAAAGCACCCTCTCGAGGTATCTATTTGAAATATTGCTTTATATTTATCATCTGTGAAGGTTCGGCTTTTTCCGTTTCCTGGTCGAGGGTGCTTTCGTGGGGAAAACATTTGGACTTACACGTTTTTGCTGGCCTTCCATCTTATCAGGTTCAATGCTTCATCTTTCAACAACCAGAGATAACTGAATGTTGGTGTTAAAACGATACGAATAATTAACATCATTTCTAATTGTGCAATAAATAAATTAAGGTATAAATTTAATTTATTATTATGTCAACAGAATGATGAAGAGTCAACAAAATCAGATACATTATCTTTCGAGAAAATATAATATACTCAGAAAAAATAAGATATGTAAATATTGAAGTAACCTCAAAATAATAACAATAAATCTACTGAATCAAAATTTACAATTTCGAATTAATCCGATAACGCTCCATAAAACGCTGATAACAGACAATCGTGACGAACTGATAACAAATAAGATGGCGTCTATTAGGCAAATGGCGTCTATTACACAAACACAATTAACTAATACCTGAATTGTCGTCGCCTGTCCCGCAATCTTGTTTGTTCGCGTGATGCAATTAAATTATTTCGATTTCAAAATATTTTTGACGAATTCGTCAGCACGTGGGCCCACTACCGATGATATCTATTTTCATAAAAATGTTACGCTTTGTGGGAGTTTTGGTACAGGACGCAGATTCGATGATAACTCGAGCTTTGGTCGCGCAACAGATGGTTTAATAATAATGTCGAAAGAATAGATTTAAATTCCGCGCAAGATGTGTAGGGACTTTTCTGGGACAGGTCAAAAGCAGTGATGTCATCATACGTGTCATTATTATTTTAATTGACTTTGTTGAAATTCATTGGTTCGCGGGAAAATAATTCACCAGCGACTTTTGGCAAAGCGTGGTGGATCGGTTATAGATTGAAATAACGTCAGCTCCCGGGCGAAGCCTTGAGGAACTCCTTATTTGTGAAGCTTTTGTGAATCACTCAAAGCCACATTGGCAAAAAAAAATCCGAAACTGGAATTTTTAAAATTTATAAATGAATTGGATGTGTAAATGCAAACTGGTTGAAAAAAGTTTAAACTAATGATTATTGTATACAAAGTGTATAAATCTGTCTATGACACAAAAAATCCGAAGGCATAAAAATAACAACATATTTAAAGCACACTCCATACGAGTATGAAAAACACACTAGTGAGAAATTAATATTTTATACCAGTTATACACCACACATTTTTACAATTACTGAAATTTTGTCTGAAGCGTGGATTTTTTGGAACACTTTCCTGAACAGTCCTAAGAGATAGGAGTAGTATAATGTGAAACGAATGTGCAGAGATACTCAAGCCAATAACCAGATTAACCAAATTCATACTCGTGAGAAATACATGTACTATTCATATGTCTGTTACTAAGATTTTGCTATGACCGCGCATTTCCGTGCACGTAAAGTTAGCAAACTTTCGAATTTCTAAGAAAAACAAATTGTAATGTTTCAGAATGAATGCTAAACTCGAGTAAAAAAAATTAGACAGAACTAGCCGCTGAAGCGAAACTAACGTTCCATGCATGTTAAGGCATAATTTTTAACGAAGGCGTGATTTTTTTAGAACAGCGTCATCAACCTTTTCAAGGGGGTAAAGATATTTTGGTGTGTATAATAATATGATGCTGATTGTAACGTTACTGTGGTCTCAAATTTTCAGGGAAATTCGATGAACGTTTCTGAGATAATTGGTAATTAAAAAAAAATCATTTCACAGCATATTTTTCAGTAAATGTTTACTTCTTAATTTTTTTTTTTGAAGTGACGTTAATGCTTTGTTTTTGACTAGCATTTGAAAAAGACTATTATAACTGTATTACTTCTTATATGTATATTGCATGTTATATTTGACACTTTATTTTATAAATTGATTAAAACATTTAAAATCACAGACAACTATGATTCTACTTTTATAACAACCAAATACAGCTTGCTTCGCTCGTTAAAAAATGTCAACGCCAGATATAATTATATCTAATATATATCTATACAGAACTTTGGAACTATGGTGAACTGGGCATAGTTAGTGCTGTAATTAAAATATAGCATAAAAAAGCTATTATTTTGCTATCTTGATTTTGTTATTAAATAAATAAATAATAGCTCCCTTATGACGTCACAGTTTAACATACTGTAACAAAATTTCAGGGAAATTCAAGGAACCTGTCTGAGATAATTGATAAATAAATTTTACATAATTTGTTTATTTAATTTTTTTGAGATGACGTTACTACCTTTCTCCAGTGAATGAATAAAAACAGCTAAAATTTGGCTAATCATCCCCACCACCAGCTTTTTGGAAAAAAATTTAAAATTGTATAACGATATTTTGAAAATTAAATAAGTCTTGCAAACGTTTTGAGGTTATCGTAGTCAAGGTAAGTCGTTAATTAAAATTTATTCGTTTACCCCCTCCCAAAAAATGATGACGTCATCTCAAAATTTAGCCGAAATATGCTAAATATTATGACTCAAAACTTGTGGCTAATCAACAAGCTCATAGTTTTTAAAATTACTGACTAAAAAAAAATAATGAATGTGTCAATTTATTTTATTGATTAAATTTGGGAATACAATACTTTTATCATTAATTCACTCAACCTATTTAAATTGATAGATATACCTGTGTCCTCGAAAAAACTCATTTGAAACATACGCGCAGCAGGTTTCCTTACATTGACTGTAATATATTGCACACATATCTTTATTTCAGTTTATAAGGGTTCTCATTGAAAAATTTAGGTTCACAATCAAATTTTATAATTTTTCGAAAAATCTGGATTTATTTTATTGTACTTAACGGGCGAGGGAAGTTCTGTCGAAATAACCTTCGACCAATTTTTTCAGTGATGACAGATCCAACAAAGAGTAGTAACTGTAGTTTAAGGTTTTTGTAGATTCATCATCGTGACTTTAATACCAGCGTTGCAAAATATGGTATATGACAAGTTCATATAAGAATAGAAGTGTTGTGTAACAGAGCCTTGTGGAGCATTATATATCGAGTGTTCCAAAAATGACAGAAAAACTCTATGATACGTTGCTAAGAAGATTTTGAAGAAAAATATTAAATTTCAAATTTGAAAAATTAACTTCGTAATTCTGGATCTGTTTTAATGAACTTCATATCTAATAGACAATTAAATCATTAAATTATTAATAATTTAATAATAATTTATTAGAATACGATCCACAATAGCTTTTTTTATTATTGACAGACGTCACTTTTGACAACTTTTATCGGAATTCTAGACTTTCAATTAAATTCACATTAAAACATAGTCAGAATTAGCAGTTAATCCTTCTACTTTAAAAAATATTTTCAAAAATTTGACTTAGGGATTTTTATTAACCATCTTTGGAACATCCCCTATATGATAACATGGAACGAGTCCAGTTTGCATTAAATTAGCGTTTTTTGTGTTAGTAAAGGAGAAAAACTCCGAGGTCTCATCATCCAACTTTCCAATTTAATACAATTGCAGAAAATTTGCCAGGAGGACGAAGTTCGCGGGATATTGGCCGCCAATCAAATCAGGGAGACAAATAAGTCGGCCATTTTAATTGGAACAATTAAGAATAATCTTAATCCTCCTCAATTTGCCGATGATTTCTTATTCATTCCTTTCCAGTATCGGCGGCAGCGGCCGCCCCACACTAATGAAAAGATTGACAGATCTTATAAGCCATGAAACGCCAATTTTCATTATTGGATTGGGATTAATTGGTCCGCGACGTCATCAAAAAGATGATCCTTTCACCGTGCGATACGTGAAAGGTCCGCCGAATGCTAAAGTTCAATTATGGGCAAAAAATGTAAACCCACTCCAGACGTTATCTTCGAGTAGAGGTATTATAAACTAAATGTGCAAATGAATAATCTCCGTATGTGAAACAAAGACAAGAAAATGTCAATCAGTGGTTCGAGAGAGACGCCAAATAATCAATCGATATTGCTCAGACTTAGTTGGTATCACTCTAATTGTCAGACCAGATGGGTAGAAGGGCGAGGGGCGGCCAAATTGAGAACCGAAACCGAAATATAGAATGTGGTTGAGATGCCAGATATACATTCGCCCTAAGCCGCCAATCAATTTCCGATTTTTGCGATTTTTGTTTTCGCGGTTTCCAGGGCGCCTCGATTCCTTTAATTAACCCCCCAATTTTTGAACTCCCCCTAACATGAATAATACCCCGATCGCATGATGTGTTCGATCCGCTGGAGTTCGATGCAGATCAAAATACATAATAATAACTGATGGCTACAATGCAAAGCAAGCAAGAATAAGTCGAAACAACCTCGCTCCGTCTCTGTCGCACCGTCTCTCTCACTCCCATTAGCGCGCCATCACGACCAAATCGGCATTCGCCGGCTCTTTTCTCTTTATATTTCAGTATAATTATTGATTATCGGGAGCTTAGACGTACGTAAGGGGGGTGGGGGCTGAGTGATTAAGCTATATGGAAACTCACCCCTTTCGCTAGGGATCTCTGACTGATTGGGATAAAATACGAGATATAATATTTAAATTAGATACGTGGCGCGTCTGATAA